TCCGGCCCAGGACTGTGAGAAGTCAGCGTCTGCTGAAGCCCTAGTCTGTGCTACCGTGTGACATGGCCCCGGCCGACAAGGATAGTGCCCAAACCAGAAGACTGGCAAGAGGCGGGGCAGGGCGGCTGGTGTCCCAGGAGGCTGTGCAGGCACACCTGCTCATTAAGGAGACACACATGGGGAGCGCAGCATCGTGGTGGGGACCCCTCCCTTCCCCGGGCTGAATTCCTCTTAATGAGGCGTCACTTTGGAGAAGCGTTTCAGAGCCCTTCAAAATCCTAGCCTAACCCTCGTCAAAACTGTACAGATTACTTAAGATTTACCGCATAGACACAAAATAAAATAAAATAAAATAAGGCAGCCCAGCGAGAGGCAGCCCCGTGACAGGGCCATTTGTAGTCAGGATGGAAAAGCCTCCGATTCATCTGCTTAAGCGCAGCAGCTTCTGTTTATTTCGCACTTTCATGTCAAATGAATTTGGAAAGAGAAAAAAGGTGACAGGCAGTTAGGGATATAAGTCACATTTCAGCTTCAGTTCAGATTAATGAACTTGCTGGAGCTGGTGAGGGCACCAGCAAACCCACAAATCTCAGAACAAAAAAATTAAATCCCCTCAGTAGAGCCTGGGGCTTCAGGGTGGCTCCTCCAAAACCCTTCACTGACCTTCTGCCTCGCACCCCTGCATCCCAGGCCCACTGAGCCTCTGGGCTGGCTCCAGGCCTGGCACCCCCGGGACAGGCTTCACTTCAAGGCAGCAGTCCTGGGGCCCGCGGAAGGGCTGGCCAGGGCCGGCTCTCAGGGACCACTGTGGCAGGGCCAGGGCGCGCGTAAAGCAGCAGTACAGTAAGCTCCCAGCGTCCCCGGGTCAGAGCAACAGCCCCTTCCTGTGTATTGGGCAGATGTGACGGGCACCACACTCAGCAAAACAGCCCAGTCCCATGCCTCAGCTTCTGGGGAGAGATGGCACATGGCCAGCACACCGCCAGCATGACCCCGTCAGCTATTGCTCCGCCCCAAGTAGCCACATGGCCGGGCATCTGGAGGCAAGGGCAATGCGGTCTCTGATGGGAGCAGAGGTGGCACCGTGGATGCCACCCCTTGAGGCAGGAGTCCCGTCCTGCTCGTGGCACACAGGCACTGCTCCTTTTCTCCTCCCACCCTCTGCCCCACCCCAGTCTCTACGTATGATGTTTGGAGCATGCCCCAATGGTGTATCCATCCTCAGAGACCTGGCTGGCAGCACGCAGAAGCCCCAGGAGCTGCTGCCCAGCAGCCTCTGTCTTCTGTCTGACGATGAGCACTGGCCGGTCACAAACCGGAGACTACCAGCCAGCACCCAGCCATCTCCCCACCACCTCCTCCAGCACCCAGTCGGCTCCCCACCGCCTCCTCCAGCACCCAGTCGGCTCCCCACCGCCTCCTCCAGCACCCAGCCGGCTCCCCACCGCCTCCTCCAGCACCCAGCCGGCTCCCCACCGCCTCCTCCAGCACCCAGCCGGCTCCCTACCGCCTCCTCCAGCACCCAGCCGGCTCCCTACCGCCTCCTCCAGCACCCAGCCATCTTCCCACCGCCTCCTCCAGGACCCAGCCGGCTCCCCACCACCGCCTCCTCCAGCACCCAGCCATCTTCCCACCGCCTCCTCCAGCACCCAGCCGGCTCCCCACCACCGCCTCCTCCAGCACCCAGCCGTCTCCCCACCACCACCTCCTCCAGCACCCAGCCGTCTCCCCACTACCACCTCCTCCAGCACCCAGCCGTCTCCCCACTATCACCTCCTCCAGCACCCAGCCATCTCCCCACGGCCTCCTCCATGTCCAGGCCCAGAGAAAGCCGCTGACAGGGAGGCCCAGGCTTATTACAAACCTAGCCATCAGGGGCCCCGATGCTGTCCACATGGGCCCAACATGACCACCAGGCCGACAGTAACTTTCTACTTAAATTAGGAGAGGGAGAGAGAAGGTACGTGTGCCAAATCACCCCCTGGAACAGGGCAGAGGCCTAGGCTCAGGCCAGGCACCCACTTGCCCACCCTCCCTCCCTCGGGCTACAGGGAAGGGGAGTTTCTAGAGCTTCCCAGAGGAGGGAACAGGCCTAATCACACTGAGTCCTCCCCACTGCCCAGGGCAGAGCTAGGGCCAATAGCTCAGTGCCTGAGGCTCCGTGCTCGGAACTTGCAGGTCTGCTTCAACAACAGAGAAAGATGCCGAGGCGCTGAGGGGAAGAGGCCTCACGTATACACATGACTTCCTCTCAGGGCGACCAGATCTCCAGTCACAGTGAGGGGTCGGCCGGGGGCATCCCACACCACCACACCAGCGCTATCCCTCAGCAGCTAGCCACCCTGCCTCCCTCCCCTCCCGCGTGTCCACCAGCCCCTGCCAACTGTGACCACCGTGGCTTCCAGGACTGCTGGGGCCTGCCCGCCAGCCCCTCCAGGGATGGGTGAGGGGGAGCTGGGGTCCAAGGAGAGCCCTGGTCTCAGGCTCCAGCCAGCCAACTGGCAGGACAGCCTGCCTTCTTCCTCTCCATGCAGCCCTTAGTCCATGGTGGCCTGGGCCTGCCCAGGGAGGGCTGAGGGTTCAGTCACATGCAGGCAGCCCTGGCTCTGATGGAGCACGGGAGATGGCGCATGGGCCAGGCCAGACCAGCTGCTGGCCCAGACAGGCCCTTTCTGCCTCAACAACCCAGAGCCCAGGCATGTGTACAGCCAACAGCAGGCCAGGCAGCCATGCTGGGACGCAGGTGACCCCGGGCAAGGAAGGCCCAGCCCGCTGGTGGCCATTATTCCCAAGGTTTCCTAAGAGTCGTGCCCCTCAGCTCAACACCCTCCCCACCCCACCCCCACCCCCACAAGCCCAGGGCTCAGGCCCCAAACGGTCCCAGACGCCTGGCAAGGGGTGGAACAGGACTGGGGTGAGGTGGTCAGGAAAGCGGGGAGGGCCCCTCACACACCTCCTTAGCCACATGTGCACCCTGGGGTGGGCTCAGCCTGGCCTTCACACGTAGAGAAGACACTGAGGCCTGGAGCCCATGGCCACCAACCACAGCCAGGGCCTCCAGGGGTGGGCTGAATTCAGGCTCCTGGTGCTGGGGGTCTTGATCCATCAAAGGCAGGGTCTACTCCACCTCCTACCCACCCATGCCTGTGGTCCAGCCCCTACACCAGAGCACTCAGAAAGTAACGGCCGCTCCCTGCAGGGGAGCTGGCCAGGCTTCACTTTGGAAGAACAGGGACCTTGCAGGGAGCCTCTCAGCTGACCCACTGTTCTCAGCTACACGGCACTGACAGGAGGCCCTGGGTGCTGGGCCGGCTGCCACCTCCTCCTCCTCCCGGCCTTCTCAGCCCCAGGGCCCGGGCACCCGTTTCTGTGCAACAACACCGTCAGGGCCTCCTGAGCAGACCCAGCGACAGGACCCAGGCCAGCCGGACCCAAACCGGAGGCCTTCTCAGCCTTCAGAATCCTGAAGGAGAGGCCCTGCTGGGTCCACCCTGAGGAAAATCATCACTCAGCCCCCAGCCGCACCCCCAGGAGAGATGGACCCTCGACGTCGGGCTGACGACGACCACAGGACGGGGAGCAGGAGCGGAGAATCCATAAATCTGAACCTCATTCCCGATGATCTGGGGCTCTTATTAAGTAAATTAATTTAAGTTAATTTAGCTCGATCATGACTCCCGATCACAGTGATTTAGTGTGGGGGAAATTGCATTAGGAAAGGCCATGCTCACCAGATAGAAGAACGGAAGAAAATTAGATCCACTTAGCAATGTGAATTAATATGGAAATAGCAGGTGTAAATTTAACCTTATCGAGAGAATAAAAATTATCTTCATAAATTTGTAGAAATAGCCCCCGAGATGCTTATAAATCTATTTAAAACAAAAATATTACAAAAAGTGCAGTAAAATTAATTTAAAATATACTCCAGCTATTGCCTCCAGAAAAGTCAGCAGCAGGGCCAAGTTGAGTGTGGCTGGGTGATACAGGAGGCAGCAGGACACTGCCTGGTGGGCTCGCCAGCTGGCTGACCTGCCACAGGGCTCCAGAGCTGGATAGGGCTGCCCATACTGGTGGGTGGATCCCCTGGAGTTAGCCTCAGGCCTGGAAACCTCTGGCTGGCAGCAGGGAACCGCCAGACAGCTACGGTATGGCGGGTGGTGGTTCCCTGGACTATGGCTGCTCGCCCCGAGGCCCTGCCCACCATCTCTGGCCCATGCCACTCCCCCAGGAGCAGGCTCCCGCAGGGAGGTCAGAAGACAGACGGAGGGGTCTGCCACTGTCTGCTTCCCGCCAGGGCTATCACCCTCTCCCGATCCTGGAGATGGGGCACCACCACCACAGCAAAGGAAGGGGCCAACCCCCTAGGGCCAGGCCTCCTGAGGCCCAGAGACTGAGCAACCTCCACTGAGCAGGTGGCAAAGCCTCCTGGGGTGGGGGCCCCAGGAAGGCAAAAGCCGTTCCCCGCTGACAAAGCCGCCCTCCCAGCCTGCATCAAGGTCAGAGTGCGAGTGGGGGCCAGACCACAGGCAGGCAGCCAGCAGCAGGGCAAGGAGGAGCTCACATCACCACCTTGACAATCGTACATTGACAGCTTCCAGACAGGCCGCTGAAGGCCCAGCCTCTCCCACCAGAAGCTACTCCCTGAGAGATGCTCAGACAGCACATGGCGTGGGCCCTGACTGTCTGGGCAGCGGAAGCTTCCATGGCACAGAGCCCTCACCAGCTAACAGGCTTGCTGAGAACAGCAGGGCATGTGTGCGTGTGTGTCTGTCCGTCTTCATGTGTATGCGGTATTCACAGGCTGGCCTCCTATTTGGTGCAGAAATTGCTAAAGACACAGAAAAATCAGGCTGGTCCCCAGCCAACGAGCCAAATGCCAAGCAGTTCTGGGATGCGCTCAGCTCCCCCTGGCCCTCGGGTTCTACCCTGCAGCCCTCAGGGCAGGGCCCGACAGCCCAGTCCCCATGCCTGCAGGAGCCCAGAGGAAGCCTTCCTACCTGGACAGTGAGAGCCGCCGGGCCCGCCAGGAGGGCAGAGACAGGGGGAAGGGCGGGGCGCTGAGAGGCGAGGCCGGCGTCTTCTTGACAATGCGGTAGCGGGTCTTGATCACCTTGCTGGTGGGTGGCGTCTGCACGGCATGCAGGCTGGATGCTGCGGAGAAAGCCCAGGGCACAGACGTGGGTCAGGGAAGGCCGGCAAGGGCAGGGTCAGAGAGGCTGCCCACAGCGCCAGCTCTGCCTACCGCCTCCGCCAGAGCTTGAAGACTCTCCATTACCCCGTGGATAAAACTCTCAACCCATGTGGCACACATATCCCCAGGGTGCCTGGCAGCCGACGATTCAGGAGCTAGCCAGTGCAGCCTCTAGGAGAGGTGGGCACCAGCCCCTCACACCCTCTAGCCATCTGGAGAAGCAATGGAATGCCCACAGGAAAACCAGGAGAAGCCAGGGGCCTGGCAGCTGGGGATGCCTTGGAGTCCCCTAGACAGTATCCGCACCAGGTGAACTTGAGGTGGCTGACTGACTCGCAGCAGGGCAGTGAGGCAGGCAGATGGGCCACCTCACCCAGGCCAGAGGTGGGGGGTTGAGAAGCTCCTGGCCTGTGCCCTGCACACGGGAGGGGTGCTGGAGCACTTACCTCCTCAAGCGGCACCTCCTCACCTTCGTGCCCAGACAGATTTATGTACTTAATCACTGTTTTCATAACATTTCGCAGGGTGATAGACACAACAGCTTTTCTCCTGCTGAACATTTCATGCAATTTACAGGAATCTATTGTCCGAATTCCCTTCCACTTGATAGCTGGCAATTTACCCACAGCTTTGAGCGTTGCATCTAATTGCCTAACTTGCATCATGTACAGCTCTGGCTGCCCAGGTCGCCGTGTACAGCTCTGGCTGCCCCGATCATTAAAGCTAACCCAACAGTGGGTGCAGGCCCGCCCTCCCAACAGCTCCCCTCGAAGCCCAAGGCTCAGGGGCTGCTGCAAGAGGCCCCCGACCCCCTCCACCCCACTCAGCGTTGCCCACAGGAGGCTCCCGCCCCCCTCCACCCCACTCAGGGTCGCCCACAGGAGGCCCCCGCCCCCTCCACCCCACTCAGGGTCGCCCACAGGAGGCCCCCGCCCCCATCCACCCCACTCAGCGTTGCCCACAGGAGGCTCCTGCCCCCCTCCACCCCACTCAGGGTCACCCACAGGAGGCCCCCGCCCAGCCCAGCCCAGGGGACCTCACCTCCTTCCAGTCAGTGCCCAGCTTCCCCTGTGCCCCGGACCCCTGACTGCCCCCAAGCCCCAGGACACACCCTCTTGGCCCCCACAGCCAAATAGTCCTCGAGGCACCCTGCTCCTTGGAAAGGACCAGTAACTGTTACCATTTCCCCAATTCTTTTCCAGAACCCTAAACACAATGGACCTTGAGCAGCCAGGGTCCCTCCTGGAGGCCTCGCTTCTGGCCCATCTCTCCACAGGCTCGCTCACTCTCCTGCCCGCACTGCCCTGTCCAGATGTCAGCAAAGAGCCCCTCCCTCTGGCGTTTCCCCAGCACCATCCAAGCTGCAGTCTCTACCAAGGCACCTGTCAGCCTGCACGGGAGCAACTCAGGAACACTTGGCCCCAACACGGCATCAAAGCCTTCCCAAGAGCCCCGCCGAGTCCACATCAGAGAGTCTGCCAATTGAATTTTCAAGGTCTTACAAGCAAGGAGAGACCAGCAAAAAAATCAATAATAGCTTGTTTCAACTAAGCGCTGGAGAACATAAGAAGTCCTTAAGTTATCAATTACCCCGAGGTGACCTCCCCACCTTCCAGCCCTGCTGCAGGCTCCCTGCTTCTGCCTGAGGAGAGCAATGGGCTGCCCAGCTGCTCCTGCCCCACCTGGGCCAAGCTGGGGGCCAGCCTCGGCACCTGGGCAGTCAGGACACCCACTGGAGCACCACCAGCTGTGGGGCCAGGGCTCGGGGTTGCCACCTGCCCACCCCCAACCCCAGAGTGCCCTGGTGACCCACTTGCCAGCCTGCAGCCTGCTTCCCACCACGGCTTCCCACAAGCCTCCCAGGCCGCCCAATGCCTGCTGCTCTGGGACGTAGAGCCTGGGGCAATGCTGGCCCCCTTGGAGCCACAGTGCGACAAAACTAGGGTGCAGTCCTGCTCAGAGGCCAGGTGGGGCCAAGCAAGGCAGGAGGGACACTGGGCCACACTCGGGCCCTGGGGGTTTGTGTTCCCCTCATCAACCTCTTTCCCCAAATTCTGAGCACAGGAGCCCCCAGACCTGGCCCAGTTCCATCCCCATCGCCAAGTGCACAGTATCCCTTTGGCTAAAATCACCTCTAACCTTGGGGACCACAGCTCGCCCTCCCTCCCAGGTCCAGCACATGCCAAGTCCTCTAGGAAGCCCCAGCCCCCACTGCACACAGGACCAGACTCTGCACTCTGGAACACTTCTGCCCAGGAGGGGCAGCTTGGGGCAGGCAGGGCCTGGCAGGCGGTGGCACCGTGATCACGCTCCCGCGCGGTGCTGACAGCAGTCAGGTCAGGCTTCTCTGCCTTACTGCGTGTTACGTCCCCTCCTGAAAACCACACGGTCATAACGCGGCCCCAACCTCTTGTCACAACCTTCTCAGGCTGGGCAGGTATGTTCTGCACATGTCACCTAGACAGACCCCTCTCCCACAGTCGCTAGCAGAGTGGGGGCACTTCGAGGGGCTCACAGTGGGAAGGTGGCAGCCAGTGTGGGGCCAAGCTGAGCTCTAGCCTGCAACCCACCCCCACAGCAGGGTCATGTCCCCCACAGCCTGGCCCTGCAGACCATGGGCAGTCCCTGTCATTCCCAGATGGGCAGCTCGGACAAGCTCATGACAACCCAGGACGGGCAGGGCACAGCCGGACAGAGGGGTAGTGGCAGATGAATTCTGAGCTGGGCCCCCAGCGGCTGGCAGGAGCAAGGGCACACAGACCCAGAAAGTCAGGGCTGCGGGAAGGAAGCGTCCCTCCCCGGCCCGGTTCCCCAGGGTGTGCGGCGACGGCGTGGGCAGGTGGCAAGGCTTGGGAGGCTATAGGACGCTGCTCTGTGGCCAAGCAGAACCCAGGCAGAAACAGGCCTTTTCCCTCCTCCCTGAGGACACAGGCCCAGGCGCCCATCCCTCCTGGCTGGCTGGGGTTTGTGTAGATAATCATGTTATTTAGATATGATGTTGGTTTAATTCCCTTCATTACAGACTCCCAGGGCTGTAATTTTTTTCTCCACGTGACGCATTCCCATGGCACACTCGGCGCACGTCGAGCCCCTTGCGCCTTTATTGCCGGCAATGCCCCGGCCCGCGTTATCAGCCCCGCACACACAGCCCTCTCCGCCCGCCATCAAGAGGTCACTTCTAATGACTAATCGATCTCATTAGCTTTCCTAATTAAAAACTTTACTACCGCAATGGAAGACAAACTACAAAAAAACTGCTGGCATCATATGTGAATGGGATATGAGCCCATCCATCAGCAGGGTTTGAGCTCTTGCACACGGCACCACCTCGGGCCAGGGGCCAGGTGGGGCAGCCCTCAGGCACCCCAAGAGCCCTCCTGTGTACCAAGCACCACATGCCCAACGATGCACCATCAGGAGGGCGGCAGCTGAGGCTGGGCCCGGCCATCAGGGGTCCAGGAGTCTGGTCCCACCCCCGGCATGAGCTGCTCCTGCAGAGCCTGGCCCTGCCCACCCAGCTCACTCTCCTCGGACAATTCCAACACAGATGGCTGATCTGATCAGATGGAAGTTGCAGCCTTTCTCTGTTTTACGTGGAGCAGGAGTTGAGGGAGAGTTCAGATTTTTATGGAACTTCAAAGGGAAATAACTAGGAAGAAAATGAGTTGCCAATTTCACAATTGGTTAATGAATAAAAAGATGAAACTAGAATTACTACTCTGTGCAAAGAACTGTCTGAGGCTGCCAAGCAGGAGAGAAGGCGGCTCCACCACTCCACTGTCCAGCCCACCAGGGCCAAAGTGAGTGTCCCAGGGAGCTGTCCAGCTGTCTGTCCAGCTCCCAGCCTGCCGATGGGAGCAGGATCAACTCCATCAGGGAGGGCCTCGCCCATTAACTGAGGTGGAGACCCAGACAAACTCTGACTGGCCCCAGGCCAGTATCCACCAGCCCCTGGGCCTCATGCACAGTGGGCTACAGAGATGGGAGCACCAAGGCCTCCAGAAACAGCAGGCACAAGAGTGGGCCCTGGTGCAGACGGGCCCAGCGCAAAGACAGCAAAACTGTCACTGCCGGGCTGCCGGCCCAAGACAGTACCCTGGTTCTAGAAGCCCCTTCCCCAAGCCTCCGCAGGCTTCATCCCAGCTGGGGAGTGGGGACAGTTGAGGAGGAGGCCAAAGACTGGCATGGAATTTGCTGGAATCGGCCATAGCCACCCCCACAGCAGCAGACAGGACGGTGTTGGGCCCATGAAGGGATGATGTTGACTTGCCCAACAGACATCTCGCACCACGCCACATTCCTGACAGAAGTGGCAGCAGTGAGCAGCCAGAATGGGCCAGGCCCACAGAACAGGCCTGGGGCAGCCCAGACCCTGCATGCAAGGAGAGCGAGCAAGGAAGGGGCCAGTCCAGGTGCAGCCCAGGGTGATGGATGGCTGTGGGCCGTGGACATTCCAGCCAGTCAGGCCCCCCATCCCTAATTCCTGACAATTCCACCTTCTCTGTACATTACCTGATCTGCTTTTTATCAACAGTTGCCCTGGCACCTCACCATCTCCACACTGCCTATGCCCTTCTCTGACTAATGGCAGCTTAAACGCTGCAAACCCACTTCTCCTGGTGTCTGTGACCTAGTTCTGTGTCTTTCCAGTCCTGTTGTAGTTTTTGAGGTGGTGCCAACTCTGTGCCAGCCCAGGTCTCTGGCCCCGGTGCCCTGAGCACGAGGTAGGAGGGGCCTGGCAACAGCACAGACTAGGGATGGCACCTTCCAGTAGGGCCGTGAGTGTCCCGCAGGCAAGCAGGACACAGCCTAAAGAGAGGGCAGGAGGCCCTGTGCCGTTCTCAGAAACCTGAGTTCACGAGGCCCCCCGACACAGCTCCAGTCACACTCCCCGCCCCACTCACTGGCCGGGCCTCTTCCTCTCTCCCTCCCGCACTGCCTGACCAACCCAGAGCTCAGG